TGTAACTAATAACTCATCATATATTTAGTAGCTTTATCGGGGAAGTGTACAATTTGAATTCAATGATAAATCGTTCAAATTATTAATGATGAAAAACGATATTCTGAGTGGAGATGAAATGTYAACATATATATTTTATAAGTAATTTTTTTACTATTTATTTATACTGCCATGAGTAATTTATTGTTCTATTAGATGTTATTGTAACTAATTTTCAACCAAATAAATTCCAAAAATCACATCTTATGATATTACATCTACAATAATATATAGGTATCAAATAATACATTAATAACTGTTATAAACTTTTAAGTCAATACCAACGTACCGCAGAACGTGTTGTTCATTATGGAAATAGCCTAAAGTTAATCTAAATACTTTGAAAACTGAATTGTGTATATTAAATAATGATTTACGCAATGGTGAAAAGTTTCAAGACTTTCAAATATTGCTTCTTTAAATATCATCAAAACAACTGAAATTATTATTTTTCGTGTAAATAATTTCAATTACATCGAAATTTGAACTTGGAAATGTTTAAAAAAAAAATTGTGTATATATGTATTTAATATTGTATATTGTATTTAAGATTTTTATGCTTCTGTAAGAAAACTTTTGAAGAACCTTATATTAAAYGCCCAAGACTTGGGTCAATAAAAATGTCATGGATTTTTAACTACAAAATAATTTACTGCATATTTTCGTAATTTTATCTAAATTCTTAAAAATTTWAACTTGTAGTGCTTATAAAAACAAAATTGRACAATAATTTTTTATAGCCTTTTCTTTGAACCTTYGAATGTAYGAAAATTATAATAATTATCATATTCATACTATATTTATATACAATAATGGCTCTAAGTAGTTAGTAGACATACAGCCAATCATATAACAGAGAGAACCTTTCAGTAGCACCTTTCCGTTTCCCATAGTAATTCAAAATGGATTACAATKATTTTTTTTTTACCAAACAACCTAATTTTATGGTGAAATTAATTTATTTTATAAACTACAATAGGTTTGTGGACACTATAAAAATCACAAGGCAGCCTATTTCCTGTTTTATGATAAATTTTATCGCATTAATAATAATAATAATGATAATAACAAAAACATTAAGCTTTACAAATGGTGTATTATAGATTGTGCGTTTCGATATTACGGGCTTATAGGCTTATAAAAGTCTAAAGTGTCAAGAAAGCAACAGTTGAAATTTACTAACAGCTAGTGTTAGCAAACGTCAATTTAATATAAAATACATAATAAAATATCATAAACCCAAACACTCGAACCGTAACGCACGTTAYGCAACGGATGAAATACCCGTCATAACAAATATATTATTGGGCACGAAAAACTTGGGAATCTGGATATGGTTGAAGTTTTTACCGTCGAGAAATAAATACACAGCACATTATAATAAAAATATTGCTTTATAATACACGACAGTTGCAGTCGTACACAATATAATAATAAGAATGATAATAATATGTCTCACTGCATTTCGATACATTATATTAATATTGATACGAGACGAGATGAAAAGAAAAAAACACCGTCATTTCAACTCACTCGTGACTTGTGATGGTAACAATAATAATAATATGTATAGATATTACTTTGACGTCAAATAAAGGCGGCTTATGGGTCAGCGCTGCAGGTACGACACAGTATCATATAATAATGTCATTATTAAAATATGTGCACGATGATTGAGTCTAAAGAGGATAAGTCCGAGGATTGATGTCGTTTCAATATCATAATATCATATATTAATTCCCGGTGACGTCGGACCGTACAGTATAATATTATTATKATATTATTTGTTATGAAGACGTGTTCCGAATCAAATCATAATATAAGCGCGTCACGTATTTATTAGTATAGCGAATGCACAACTTACTATAATAATTGCTATATTATACTATAACACACTTAAACGCGTGTTATATAGAGCCAGTCRAATGGGTGGCGATCCGAGGGTGGTAGGTTTCTTCCCCTATGAAATTTCTTCAACGTTCACTTATATAAACCGTAAATTATATTTTTAATGACCAAACAGTATAATATGTTACAAAATCATTTGACTACCACAACTGCGGCCGTGGTATATAATTTAATATTATTATGTGTGTCCGTCCATTCGTCTATCCATCGGTGTGTTTCTATCACGATAGCTGCGTCTCTCTAGCCGCACGGACATTATATTGCGAGGACAGAGGAATCGAATTCGAAAAGGATAATAGACCAGATATCCTACATTATGTTATACCTATACGTACACCCATACACGGTATAAGCGCCCACACAAGCGACACTACAAAGAGAGATAATTCCGAAGATATAATGTGCTGGGTGGGTAGAAACAATGTCGTCTTTTACTACGCCTACCTCCAGACGTCCATTGTGTGCGGTCGTGTGTTCACTCGCATATATATATATATATATATGTTTGTACGTATGTATGTCTGTATGTATATATGTATGTATGTATATAGCAATAATCGCGCAATTCCCAAACAAAAGCGAAGACCGGAACAATAATTTTCAGACTAATAAAATCGAAATCCGATTGGTTTCGACTCGACGTCGACAGTGTCCTGGCTATAATATGGTGTATAGTAACAGTATATACCTACCCTGGTCGACGTCGATTTTGAGCATGGTAAGAGTAGTTCATCCCCACTCACTTCCTCCCACATCTAAATCCGGTCATAATGCGGTATCCACGTATACGCGACGTCCTTTAATAATGGTACAAGACCTTTAGTACAAGTCGATTACGTTTTCTATCTATGATTTGACACATTGTTTCAATCATCATTTATTATTATTTATTGGAGTGCGGATTAAATTTCGACACGGTATGGAGAAACAAGCTGAACTCCGCGCTATAAATATAATATACAGAATCCACCGTCGCCGTTATGGTCGAGCCCTTCGGGATGATTGCAACCATCAAGGGAAACACGGCAAACGCGTGGTATACAAAATATTKTGTTTAGGAGTTTTTTTTTTCTGCGCGATTTTCGACCACTAAATTAATAATAATAACACCGACGTCATAAAATATATATTATACAGACATACAGTCCACGTTATTATGACGTCATGACATAAGAGATGAATAATATCGAGCACGAGTCGGAGCCGCGTTTGAACATGCATAATATTATGATACGTTTTCCGTCCGCTCTTGCCCGATATCCTACTGCACGACAGCGGAAGGCAAACAAAATTTACTATTTATTTGGTCAGTGTACGCGGAAACAACTCAGTTTTTACATTCAACACATCAGCAATACGTATGTGTCGGGCATGAATTTTTCTGTTCGGTACGTGCCGCCGAGCTGTTGGAAATATTATCGAGGTTATACTCTGGCCGAAGCGTATACGGCACGCTCGACGAATACGCAATAAGCTCATGTCCAAATATTACGGAATACCACTTTAGGCGTCGAGAGGAAAAAATTTAAAAGAAAAACAGTAGTAGGGGAATAGGAGGTGAAGAACTGGGAAGATATAAGAAGTAGGAGAGAATGAAAAGAAAAGAAAAGCAGGAAACAAGAGAAAAAGACGACTGAGACGACGTCGACAATGACAGTTCTTCTCTTTCCAGTGCATGTCCGAAAAAACATAAATAAGAAATGGACAAATAAATTCAAGAACAAGAACAAGAAGACGAGACCAAAAGGGCTATAAGGATGACCTGCTGACAAAGTACAAAACCGAGAACAATAATAATATAACGTCACTATTGGAAATGACATGATAAATATTCGTCTTGGCGATTCACGCTGCTCTTCGCGCGGAATAACAATTGTTTTTCTATTTATTTATTTTTTTTCAAGTGACAAACAGCCTGCGGCCCTTGGTCGTACATCCGACTTGATGACATTTACTATAGCTAGTATAGTCAAAAGCGTTCTGTAACTTTAGTGGCGTATTGTGTAATTTTTTCGCGTGAAAAAAAAATATAATTTATCGTTAAACTAAAACGCATGCGTTAAATGTATATACCACCGTCGTTATATTTATATTATTTATTAGAAGATTACCTAACCTCTTTTGAAGAGTATTAGTTGGACAATTAAAGCAGACATAATAATTAATTAATGAAATGATTAATATATAATTAATAATTAATCAATTAAAAATATTTCCATTTTTAACTTTAAAATTTATTTTCCAAAATCAGTTTTTTTTCACGAGAAAACTTTAAATCGCATAATCTCAAATTTTTTTTTGAATAATTGTCATAATAATTATTTACTTTTTTAATATATAAAATACGGTAGTTAGACATTTATTCGGACCGTAATAGTATATGAAGCGGTGACAGTTTAACCAGTATACAATCATTTGTCTGGTTTACTTAATGTTTATTATTTAATRACCAGATATTATTTTAAGGGTTACAACTTACAAAACACAACACACATTGTATTATATATATATTAACAATCATCTAAAAGGTTTAAAGTTTCTGCAATGTAAAATGATGGTTGAAGTTTTTCGGGTTTAGTATAGTTCAATAACAGTARTATTACCAGTTGTAATGTGCAGGGTGCCWTTCGCTCCATTAACGATTTTCATACRATATATTATTATTATACTGTATTTTCATATTATATCACACGAAATGCTCACGTTTGAAGCGTGTAAAAATGAACTGGTAATTTTATTACAACACCATAAACAGTACAATATTTAAATATGAACATAATATATTTAGTATTTTATTTTTTACTCACTGATGTAATCATCAGCCCAATGTCCATTACATGGTTTTGTTTAAAATTTTTGGTTTTATATCCGAATAGTCCATTAATGAGAATAACTGGAATAAACGCTATATCGCCTAATATTATACGATATTCGACCATACTTTAAACGCGTAATTAATACATATGAAATAATTATAACTTATAAAAAAAAAACCATTATTTGGTATTAACTAACTAGATATTCTATAATAATTCAATAAAACATTTGTTTACCAATTAATCGATTCATACCCCGTTGAAAATCTGCACGTGTCACCTAAAATATACAAAAATGTCTATTAAAAATTTGTAAAATAATATATATTATGAATAACTTTAACAATCAGTCGAATTAATCGACCAGTTCTTATAAACTTATGTTACAATTTCTTCTTCTTCTTTTTTTTTTTAATATATAGTAATTGTATATTTTATGATTTTAAGTTGTATCTACTTAAAAGAAAAACACAATTATACAAAATATATAGCAGATCAAATGAAGTAATTAACTGAATAGTAAGGGTAATTGTTTGTGCATTGTATTAAATTCATGGAAGATAACCTATATTATTATGTCCACAYGAAAGTTTTATTAAATTACTACTATCTTTTTGCATATACAAACAAAATGTAGTACTACACATCAACAAGTATTCAACGACCGACAAACACTATCTTTGAATTTCCAATTAAGATCAAATAAATATTAAATATTATAAAATAACCAGTGTTTTTAATTATTAATTAAGTACTTATTGACGAATTTAATAATATTACACAGCCCCGTTAGAATAAGGATAAAATTAATATAAACGGGTCGTGTTGTTTTGATGAGACGTATATTCTAAATAAATATTACTCAAAAATAATGTCAAACTTTGAATAATAAAAATATAATATTATACAAAACAATATTATGGTGGGGATAATTTTTTCGGTACTGTAGCTGCTAAGTGAGTATTACCATTTACCACCATATAAATTATATTCGTATTATTTTTATGGTGATATTCGATAAAACCACGAAAAACATCTATAAATGGACGAAAAAATATTATCGCACAYCATTTTGAAGACAAAAGCTAGACCATTCCCAAGTAAACGAAGTTTTGACCAAATCGTTTTTCAAACATAAAGATTGATGATTGCTTTCACCTCAAATACACACGTTTTCACAACGTTCCACCAATTTCGCGTTTCTCAATTCTTTTTTGTTTTCTGTTAACGTAGATTTCATAGACGACTCAATTCGACTCCAATTTTCCCAGCAATTGCAGTATAGGTAAGTTTATTCGACATTCATTATATTTTTTTAAATATTTCGTGAAAACGTGATTTCTTTTAAATTTGTCTTAAATGAATGTACCACGAAATAAAAGCAGTCGCGTTACTAAAATCATATGTTTGTGTAGAGTACGATTTTGTTGAAAAACCTGACCTTAGAAAATATTATATTACCATTTTTTATTTTTTTTTTTGCTTAATTTAAAAACGTTCTGACAAGTTTATTAGAATAATAACATATTAGTATGTATACCACATGTGCCGTACACGCCGTACACGTTTATGTGCGCCCATTGGATAACTTTAACAATAATAATATACAGTGGTTAATGTACATTGAATATAACGAGCACTTGAATGTGACAATAATATTATATTTTTGGTGTAAACGAGAAATAGACTGAGACAACGCGCAGTCACAATCCATATAAACGCACCGATATAATATGGTTTGCGCGCGGATGGTACAAACACGTTTGACATAAGTCCCAGACGTAAATTGTTCCCGACAAAACCACTTTGATTTTGATTTGTACGTGTTTAGATGGTAATGTAATATTTTCGCACACGAAAAATATATAAAAACACGTCGCGCACTAAACACACACACATATAAAGGTACTGCGCCCACGGTGTAAACACGTGAAAAATAGTGATATTAAATTCTCTACTCTGCGTTTAAAACACTTCACGTTTTTGTAGTTGTAGAGTCGAGAGCACATAATATAGGAAATAAAAAATAAGCGCTACGCATTGCTTTTACGTATATACMWACATATACACACGAACCGTAATATATTTTACATATTATGTACATATTGTGCGCAATGTTTGGTGCGTGTTGGCGTGTATGAGAGAAAATATAATAATAGGCTTTCAAAGTTTAAACATTTTGACATGGGTTCTTGAACGCAAAAGTTTAAATAAACAACATTGTAATATATTATAATATCATATTATATTGTATACATCGATTCCGAATATCATATTAATAAGGAAATTATATAGAATTGACGTATTTTCTGCGGATCACTTTATGCACAATACAGCGTATATTATAATAATATTATTTATTATTTACTGTGTATACGTGGAATATATCGTAAACGTAATATAGCAGATGAGGGAGAGATGGTGTACAAATGTAATAATATTATTTGCTTAATAATTGTATGCAGACATCAGTTGTTTATTTTCCCTGACAGAGCTATCCATATTTTTACAGTTTCGTAGTATATAGTATTATATAGTGTAGACTAATATTTAAAAAACGGGTAATTCGTGGATGTCGCTCTGCTGAACAGCAGATTACAAATGGGTTACTGTAATGGATGGAATTAAATTTGAATTCAATGATATTATATCATTGTATACGAAAAACGATTCTGAGCGGAGACGGTTTATCTGTCTAGGTTATATTATAGATTATTAAAAAATTTCAAATCTTAGATTTAAAAAGTCTCTTAAATGTTTGGGTAAGGCTAATAAAGTAAACAATCCAAATTTCAAATGTTTACGAATGTTTTTAACCGAATCACAACAAAAAA